AGGGGTTTGGAGGGTGAGGGATGGGGATTGGGTTTGGAGGGTGAGGGGTTTGAAGGTTGAGAGGTTTGGTGGGTGAGGGGTGGGTGTTGGATTTGGAGGGTGAGAGGTTTGGAGGATGAGGCGTGGGTTTGTGGGGTGCAGTTTGGAGCTTTTGTAGGGGGAGGGGGTTTGAGGGTGGCATTTGTGAGCCTTGTAGGGAGAGAAGGGAAATGAGAGCGAGGAGGTGAATGCGGAGTGAGAGAATTAGAATTAGAATTAGGTTTTATGATCATGCATACTCAAGTACACGGATACAGGAGTATAGGCAGAAGTGTACAATGTGGCCATTCCTGGCACAATCTTAGTTACAAAGGTATCTAGATACAGAATCTTAGGTGCAAAGTAGAAAAATGTGGAAATGAAGTTTAAAATTCCACATTGAAGTCCTTCTCAGTATAAAGTAGAAAAATAAAGAAATAAAGTTAAAAGTTCAACATTGCAATCATTCTTAACTGCTTAGCCACGCTGGGCTTGCTTTCCCCATTAGGACTCGATCTCCTCTGTTTTGGGTTCACTCTCTAGCTCTCCGCCGCACTCTCTCCCTGAACCCCCACGCTGGCTCTAAGGCAATACAGAAAGCGAAAATGGGAATGCAGACAGAGAGAGAGAGAAGAGGGAACTTGGAGAGAGAAGAGTTTCACTCTTTCCCAGCCCAGTTCCTCTCACTGTCCCTGAACAATGACAGTTTAATTCCTGCTTAAAATATTTTGGGACATTGTGATGAAAAGTTCAACAGAAAGACAACAATTAACTTATTGCTTCCAAACTGTTTGGCATCCCTTTATAAATCCAACCAATGTAGAGGTTTTAAGTTAAACAGGAAAATAAATACCACTCTCTTGAACACTCCCTTTATCAAATCACAAACAAAATAAATGTCATGGGTTTCTAGCAGACTGTGTTCTAAATACGTTGTGATGTTTGACATTGCATGTTTGCTTGTTTGAAAACCACAGCCATGAAGTGCCACTCAATGTATCTCCATAAATTGAGATCTGGGGAGCAATGTTTTTAGTTTCATCTTTTCCTCTGGCAGAGGGAGTGAATCTTATACTCACTGTCCTGACCCCATCTTCTGTCTCCCCTGCCCTCTTCCTCCCTTCATCCTTATGCTTTCCCTGGCTTCTGTGTCTCAAAGTGTTGGTGTGAATGAGGTGGTCAGCGATGTCTGGTGCATGAGGTGTTTAGCACATGGTGTTGGTGGTGCTGGATAATGCCTCAGGGCAGCCAGGGGTTTAGGCTAACCATAGTGCTGTGTCCTGTACCGTGCCTGGCTCTGTATGGCATGTTCTTGCCCTTTAAAGGGCCTCAACATCAGTGGGTCTCGCAGCCCCCTCCTCTCTCGCCTCTCCAAGGCTGCTCACAGCCATTCACTTCCCCAGTAGTTTTGGTTTCCAATGCAATGGGAAGCAGGAGTGGGCGCTCTGTGCCTAGTGTGAGATAGGGGCCTGAAAATTAGAGGGGAGTTGTGCCATTAATACAATGTGTGACATTCCCCAGCTCCCCCGCCCCACCCCACCCTCGCTGGGCCACTCGTCATTGCCTAGCGAAAAACCCCTTGTTGCTCATCAGTTCTCCCTCAAATTCCTTTCTTCGGTGTGGGGGATCTCCAGGGTCCAAGCGAAGCGTGGAATGACAGAACTGGACTTGCCATGTCACTTGGCGTGCATGGAACCTCAGAGCTCACAGCGAACGTTGCCTGGCAACTAAAGCATAAAAGACGAAATGAGGCCGAGGACAGATGAACTGGCTCCGCTTCTAAACCACACATCCCCTCGACTGGTTGCAACAAGGCTGATTTACAAACAGATCCCATTCCTGTTGAATTTCTTTCCAGACCGAAAATCAGATTACATTTTAACAGGAGACAATTTCACGGAATCACGGAATGTTATGATGCTGTGGAAGGACATTCAGTCCATTGTGCCTCTTCAAACAAGCATCGTCACCTCGCACCAATCTCCTGCATTTCCCACGCTTACCATTTCTATCCAAACAACCACCCAATACCTCACCCACCACATTTCCAGGAAGTGTATTGCAGATCCTAACTACTCACTGTGTGGAAGGGATTTTCCTCACATCACCCTTCTCCCTTTGTACATCACTTTAAATCCATGGACCTCTCACTCTTGTTCCTGCCACAAGTGGGAACAGTTTAACCCTATCTACTCTGTCCAGCCCTCACTCATGATTTTAAAAACCGCAATGAAATCTCGTCCCAACCTTCTTCTCTTCAAGGAGAATGGTCCCAACTTCTTCAATGTCTCCTGGTCACTGAAGGTTCTCATTCCTGGAACCATTCTTGGTGATACAGGCTTTCTTCAGTGAACAAACAATGAGTTTGTTAATTATTAAATGTGGGGAGAAATAATAACACATGGAGATTGGAAATAAGAGGTAAGTCCAAAAAGATAAAAGTTTAAAAAGAAAACAGATATATAGCTCAGTGTCTGAACAGCGGATAGCTGATCATTACTGCTGTGGGTGTCATTCATCATGTAGATATTGGTAGTTGAACAGTCAGTTTCAAGATTGAGATTTTGTCATTCTGATTTCTTTAAACTGTGACTGTATTCAAACATTCAGGGTGAGAGAATTACTTTGCTTCAGTATTTACAGTAGAAAAGGAGGATAGCTTGCTGGAAGTCCCAAGAAAATTGATAATGGATCGGGAACAGGGACTGAGTAAAATTAATGGAAGTAAAACATCAGTTCTGAGGAAATTAATAGAATTAATAGAGTGACAAAATCCCCAGCACCTAATGGTTTCCATCTGAGGATGTCAAAGGAAGTAGGGAGCCACATTGAAAGATTATCATTAGAGCATCTACAAAGAATCATAGAATCCCTACAGTGTGGTAACAGGCCCTTTGACCCAACAAGCCCACACTGACCCTCAGAGCATCCCACCCAGACCCATCCCCCTATAACCCATCTAATCTACACATCCCTGAACACTACAGGCAATTTAGCACAGCCAATGCACTAGCCTGCACATCTTTGGACTGTGGGAGTAAACTGGAGGAAACCCACACAGATATGAGGAGAATGTGCAAACTCCACACAGACAGTTGACCAAGGGTGGAATTGAACCCGGGTTCCTGGTGCTGTGACCCACCGTGCCACCCCTTAGTTCCCTAGATCCAGGCGACTGCCATGTAGATTAGAAAATTGCACAAGCCACTCCAATCTTTAAAAAGGGTGAAAGAGGAAATCAAGGAATAACAGACCAATTAGTATAGCATCTGTCATAGGGAAATTGTTGGAGTCTATAATCAAGGATGGAGCAACTGAACACCTTAAAAAAAATTGGTTAATCACAGAGCGACAGGTGTTGTTTAAATGGACTTCCAGAAAGTATTTGATAAAGTCCCATATGAGAGACTGTTCACTAAGGTAGAAGCCCATGGAACTGAGGGCAAATTACTGATATGTTTACGACATTGATTGAGTGGCAGTTGACAGAAAGTAGGGAAAATGGATAGCTTTTCAAATTGGCAGGATGTGACCAGATGTCCCACAAAGATCTGTGTTAGAGCCTCAATTATTCACATTATTTATTAACAACTTGGATAATCACATAGAAAGTCATGCATCCAAATTTGCTGATGACGCAAAGTTAGATGGCCTTGATAGCATTGGTAGCAGTGTGGATTAAAAGCGTAAAATTACAGAGCTATGATAGACTAAGTGAATGAGCAAAGCTGCAGCAGATGGAGTTCGATGTAAGTGAGTGTGAGGTTGTCTATTTTGAACAGAAAAAGGATAGATCAGGGCACTTTCTAGTCAGTATGAAGTTAAGTACAGTGGATGTCCAAAGTTCAGGTGCATAGATCTTTAAAATGTCATAAACAGGTGTAGAAAATTGTCAAGAAATGCTCGCTTTTACATCTAGAGGACTAGAGTACAAGGTTGCAGAAGTTATGCTGCAGTCATACAAAACTGGTGAGACCCCACTTGGAATACTGTGAGCGGATCCGAGGATCAGACCTTGGGAAGGAAACATTATTGGCCTCGGAGAGAATATAATCTGAACTTCAGGGGTAAGGTTGTGAGGAGAGATAATACAAATTAGGCCCATTTTCTCTAGAATTTACAAGGTTAAGGGGCAATCTGTTCGAAGTCTTTAAGGTCCTAACAAGAAAGACAGAGTAGATAAAAATAAACTACTTCCACTGGTTGGGGATTCTAGAACCGGGGGCATGGTCTAAAAATTAGGATCAGACTGTTCAGCAGAAATGTTAGGAAGTACTTCTACACGGAAAGGGTGGGAGAGTATTTGAACTCTCTTCCACAAATGGCAGTGAATACGGGGTTAGTTCATTTTAAATCTGAGATGAATAAAATCTTGTTGCAAAGGCATTAAGAGAAATGGGTCTCACAGCGCCAGGGACCCGGGTTCAATTCCACCCTCGGGTGACTGTCTGTGTGAAGTTTGCACATTCTCCCCATGTCTGCGTGGGTTTCCTCCCACAGTCCAAAGATGTGCAGGCTAGGTGGATTGGCCATGCTAAGTTGCTGTAGTGTTTAGGGATGTGTAGATTAGGTGGGTTATAGGGGACAGGTCTGGGTGGGATGCTCTGAGGGTCAGTGTGGGCTCATTGGGACAAAAGGCCTGTACATGGAATTAGGCCACAGATCAGCCATGATCTTATTAAATCGCAGAAGACGCTTGAGGGGCTGAATGGCCTATTCTTATTCTCATGTCCTTTTGTTGTCCCATTTCATTTTGTCTGTCTTGCTGGCTTGCTGACTTCTAGCACACAGGGTGAAAGAGTGCCTTTTCTTTCAACGCAGGGGTGACTACAGAATAGAACTTTAATCATGACCTTCACAGCCCACTAACACCTGAATCCCAACTGGTACACACAGGCATGTTCAGTCCCATTAGCACACACTAGTAGAGTTGAAACCTGTTTTGCTAGTCCCTGTGCTTGTCTATTCATGTGGGATAAAGACAGGATATTGGCACTGGGAAATAGAACCCATCCAGGTATAATGGCCGGAATGGAGCCTTTCTTTCAAAGGAAAAACACAAAATGTGTCTGCAGTTTGAGGCATAACCTTCAGGGGCTGGCTTGCTGTTAAGCAGGGGCTTGACAGGCCCTAGTTAAAAAAAATCCAACGTATCATTCTCCGCCACCGACAATCTGACCCCACAACCAAAGAAGTTATTTCCCTCCCCACCCCTATCTGCCTTTCGTAGGGACCGCTCTCTCCGTGACTCCCTTGTCCGCTCCACACTCCCCACTAACCCCACCATCCCCGGCACCTTTCCCCGCAACCGCAGGAAGTGCTACACCTGCCCCTACACTTCCCCCGTCACCCCGATCCAAGGCACCAAACAAACCTTCCACGTCAAACAGGGGTTTGCTGGCACATCTATCAACTAAAAAAAAATTTGCAGATCCTCGTCCAATCTGTTTTGACTTGCATCTGACACCCTTTGAAAGGTTGTCATTTGCAGTTCATTTTTGCATCTTTAGATGGGACGTTCTGTGGGTCTCCCTGAACACATATTCACTTCATTTACAGCTGCAGCCATTTTTGGCTGTATCAATTCTCTTCTAAAACAAAAATGGTTTGGAATTACAAGTTAAAAACAGTACTTTAGGGATCTAGCCTATAGTCATGACAGGTGCTGCATTGGACAGGAACATTGAGGTATGAGGTTCACCTGCATCCTGAGCTTCTTAAAGGGACATGGCTCTTAAAGTGGTAATATGGCAGGACTCATAGTATTTGTGCTTTTTTTGCAGGAATATGGGGAAATCAGGTCTGCGAGTCTCTTGTGTGGGAATAGGTGAGTAACAATGAGTAGTGGATGGGATTGAGTGTGAGCAATGAAGTAGTGTAAGGGTTACTGTCAACCTTTGAGACTTAGCAACGAGATTCTGGTCGAAGGTCATGCTTTCGGTTACCTGTTCGCCATTTGAGAAGTTTCACCAAACCTTTCAACCAGGAAGGGTGAGAATTGTGTCAGGAAGGGACAGAAGAATGGGGAAAAGAGAGGAGAAGGTACAGAGGGTGAGAAGGTACCTGGCAAGAGATGGACAGTTGGTGGGAGGGAAGGTTTCTACGAGTGAGTGAGTTAGATCATACGTTCAGGAACTGGGAATTATTTGACCTGTTGTTCATTTTCCTTCCAGGGAGCTGGGTCACACTCGGGTCTCAGATCTCAGACGAGGTGAGTGCTTGCCAGGGTCGGATGCCAACTTACCTGTTTTAATGCATCTTCAATCCTCTCCCTGCAAATGGTGGCATTTAGTCTGCTGCAATCAGCATGGGCAGAAGCTATTCGACCATAACTAATCACCTGGTCCCACTTCCTCACCCAATTCCCGATATCCCTGCAAATTCTCCCTCTTTGGTTAATAACTCAATGCCTCCACCACCCTCTAGGGCAATGTATTCCAGACCCTAACCTCAAGACGTTTTTCCTCCTGTCACTGTTGTGTTTTTTATGAATCACCTTAGATTGGCGTCCCTCTCCATCCTCCCTCCAGAGACCCCTCCTGTGGTTGAACACCACGATCGAATCTCCTCTCAACATCCTCTGAGTATTCCCCATGCAGATGGCCTAAAAGCCCTCCGCTTCTTCCTCTCCCGCAGGCCCAACCAGTCCCCCTCCACTGAAACCCTCATCCGTTTAACAGAACTTGTCCTTACCCTCAACAACTTTTCCTTTAACTCCTCCCATTTCCTACAAACTAATGGGGTGGCTATGGGTACCCACATGGGTCCAAGCTCTGCCTGCCTCTTTGTAGGATACATGGGACAGTCCCTCTTCCGCTGTTACACCGGCACCATCCCTCACCTCTTCCTCCGATACAACGCTGACTGTATCGGCGCTGCCTTGTGCTCCCATGAGGAGCTGGAACAGTTCATCAACTTTACCAACACCTTTCACCCCAACCTCAATATTCACCTGGACCATCTCCAATACCTCCCTCCAATTCCTGGACCCCTCCGTCTCCATGTCTGGTGATTGTCTCAACACCGATATCTATTTCAAACTCACCAATTCCCACAGCTACCTGGACTACACCTCCTCTCACCCACCCTACTGCAAGAATGTGATCCCTTCACTCCCAATTCCTCTGCCTCTGCCGCATCTGCTCCCAAGATGGGGCATTCCACTCCCGCACATCCCAGATGGCCTCCTATTTCAAGGACCACAACATCTCCCCTCTGTTGATTCAAAATGCCCTCAACTGCATCTCTTGCATTTCCTGCATTTCTGCCCTCAAATCTCCTTCCCCCAATAAAATAAGAACAGAATCCCCCTGGTCCTCACATACCATCTTCTATCCGCCCTACCCTTCCAACTGGCCAGTTCCAACTACTCCCGATCTGCACTCACCTATCACCATCCCACTTACCTTCCTCTAGCCCCAACCCTTTCTCCCTCTATTTATTTCCCAGCTGCCTTCCCCCTCCCCAGTCCTGATGAAGGGTCCCAACCCAAAACGTCAACGCTCCTCTGATGCTGCCTGACCTGCTGAGTTCCTCCAGCTCCACACTGTATCGACATCCTCTGAGGAATACAATCCCAGGTTCTCCGATCTATCCTCATCACTGAAGCTCCTAATCCCTGAATCCATTCTTGTGAACTCTCTCCGCATCGTCTCTAATGGCTGAGCCGGTATTTAATGCCCATCCTTAGTTATCCGTTGAGAAGGGATTGTAAGCTGCCACGTTGAACCACAATAGTCTGTGTGGTGTAGGTAGACCCATAATACTGTTAGAAGGGAGCTCCTGGATTTTAAGGTTCTTGAGTAGATCTATAGCTCGGGTTGTGGATGCTGTGGTTGGTTGGCTCACCGAGCTGGTTCGTTGTTGTTCTGCAGACATTTCATTATCATGCTGGGTAACATCATCAATGCAGGTCTGATGAAGCGCCGTTGTGTTTTCCTGCCTGGTATTTAAACTCTGGGGTCCGTTGGATTTGATTACCTCATTCTCGGTTTTCCTTCGCAGTGGTGTATATATAGGGTTTAGCTCTATGTGTTTGTTGATGGCCTTCTTGGTGGAGAACCAGGCCTCTAGGAATTCCCGTGCTTGTCTCTGTTTGGCCTGTCCTAGGATCCTGGTGTTGTCCCAATCAAACTGGTGGTTCTCCTTATCCTGGATTTTAACCCAAAACAATCCCAATTATATTAAATAGCAGAGCAGGCTCAATGGGCAGAATAGTCTCCTCGTGTTCCTGTGTTCAGCTGCTAATCTCACGCTGACTATCTCCTGCCCTGAATCGTGTTATCAGGACTCCTCTGGTTCGTCACCACCTTCTGTGATGAACGAGGATGGCTTCAAGCCCCCACTTGGGAACCATCTTTAATCTAGGCCGATGCTCCCAGTTCAGTCTTGAGGGAGTCAAAGGCGAAATCTTTGAGGATAGAGTATAGAGGGTAGAACAGTACGGCACAGGAACGGCCCCTTCGGCCCATGATGTTGTGACAAACACGACACCAAATTAAACTAATTCAATCTGCCTTCTCTTGGTCCATATCCCTCCATTCCTTGCATATTTGTACACTATAGGTTTGAGGTGAAACATTGAAACAAAGAGCGAGCTGCCCATGCAGATGTGCGTCAAAGACCCCCTCAGGCACTATTTGGAAGAAATGGAACATAGCACTCTGTCAGGCAGTGGACATGTTGGGCTGGATTACTAACACAATGCTTCTCACTGCCACTCAGAGGGATAGTTTTCCTTAGAGCAGAGAAGGCTGGGGAGATTTCTGATTGAGGTGCACAATATTCTGAGGGGTATAGACAATGACGTTGCCGGGGTTAGAGGGTTTGAGCTACAGGGAGAGGCTGAATAGGCTGGAGCTATTTTCCCTGGAATGTTGGAGGCTGAGGGGTGACCTTATAGAGGTTTATAAAATCATGAGGGACATGGATAGGGTGAATAGTCAAGATCTTTTCCCCAGGGGTAGGGGAGTCCAAAGAGGGCATAGGTTTAAGGTGAGAGGGGAAAGATTTAAAAGGGACCAAAGGGGCAACTTTTTCACGCAGTGGGTGGTGTGTGTATGGAATGAGCTGCCAGAGGAAGTGGTGTAGGCTGATACAATTATGACATTTAAAAGGGCATTTGAATGGGTATATGAATAGGAAGGGTTTAGTGGGATATGGGCCAAATGCTGGCAAATGGGACTAGATCAGTTTAGGGTGTCTGGTCAGCATGAATGTGTTGGACCAAGGGGTCTGTTTCCGTGCTGTATGATTCACTGACTCTAAGAATGTGAGCAAGCAGTTTGTGTCCTAGACTGGTGTTTATCTACATTCCTACATCTGAAAATAGATTACCTGGACATTGTCACAATGCCATCAGTGGGATCTTGCTGTGCACCCACGTGGCTGCTGTGTGTATTCAATGACTCTGACATCAGTTTAGCAGCACTTTGGGGAGCCCTGCCATGACAGTGCGGTCGCTTCTTCCCAGTGTGTGAGTTTATTTTATTTATTTGCCTGATGTTTGTGCCCTTCTTGACAGGCTGCTGAAGAAATCCTGACCGTTGCCTACGAGAATGGGGTCAATCTGTTCGATACCGCGGAGAACTACGCTTCTGGAAGGTATGACATGCAGAACACCAACTGATCCATCCCAACAAGGACCTGAGCCTGAGCAACAGATCAAAGATGGAGGGGGGGTTGGGGGCAAGGCACTAAGGTTTGGAAGTTGGCCAATGTGTCCCCTCACCCTCCCAAACCATCCCCCTGCACACCCCACCCCCACCACGCCCCATCCCCTGCACTTTTCAGGTGCTTCTGGGCCTATTAAGGCCTTATGTACCAAGCTGAATTGCTCCAAATCTATGTATTCAACCAATCGATTCAAAATGGCGGCTCACCACCACCTTCACTAGGGGCAGTTAGGGACAGGCAATAACTTCTGGGCTCAGTCAGCGAAGCCCACCACCCTCCTGGGAAGAATTGAGACAAAGTTACTGAGCTGAGTGAGAGAGGGTGTTGGGGATTGGAGAGGAACCCAATTTCCCTCCTTTTTCCGTGAGGATCCCTAATCCCCAGGATCTGGGCCTAGCGAGTGAAGGCCTGGTGTGACAGTGTTGGAAATGCGGGTTACAAATACCCCTTTATGGATAAATCCCTATGGTGGGCAATGTCTGTTATTTTAATAAATGATTTTTTTTTGGGGGGGGTGATTTGATGGTGAGGTTTTCAATGGGGAAAAAGAAGAAAATAAAGAGCTGGGTTCCTCCCCAGTGGACAGTTGGCGTCTGGTAAGGGGAAAGGGCCCAGAAGGGAACTGAGGAAACTGTTCTTTTGTAGAAACTGTAGATTTATAATAAAATATTTCTCTGAAAATATTTTGCTGCTTAAATCACAATCTAGATGTCAGCCTGCTAAGCTATTGGGAAGTGGGCATTGTTAGTGAGGCTGGTACTGATTTGGTTCTTTCTCTGTCCTCTCTCTCTCTCTCTAGGGCTGAGATAACGCTGGGAAACATTATTAAGAAGAAAGGCTGGAGGTAAGGATGAGCAGGGTTACCCCTAACCATGGCGGAGGAATGGGGGTCTGGTAATCCTCTAAATTTAATAAACCTGAATGTTTGCCCTGTTAACCCCCAACTCTCCTTCCATTGTTCCTTGGACATGTTGATTCTGTACCCTCCTTCCCCCCAACTATAGTGAGGGCCCACCCACCTTACTGACCAATTGCAGGGCAGCATGAGGGTCATGAGACTTCTCTTTTGAGGACCACCATTCACAGTTTGGGGGGGGTTCTCTGGGAGCCCATGGGTCTTACAGACTGCAGATTGTTTTCCCAGGATGATCCTACCTTATCCAGAGACAAAAAGGAAGAAGGGAAGAGTTGCATTTATATAGTACCGCAGGAGGTCGCAAAACTCTTTGCAGCTCATGATCTAAGTGCAGACTGAAGTGCAGTCATTGTTGTAATCTCAGAACTGGCTCCAGAAAATATGGAGGAATTGTCCGTTGGCCACTAAAGAAAATCTCCCCACTCTACACAGAGAAACTCATCCTTAAAACATTCAGGTATGAAAATCTGAAAAGGCAAACGAACACTGAAGATCTAAAATAAAAACAGCAAGTGCAGGAGAAACTCAGCAGCTCTGGTAGCATCTGTGGAGAGAGAAACTGGGTTAACATTTCGAGTCTGGTACGACTTCTTCAGAGCCTAAAGTTTCTCTTCTGAGCTATGAAAAAGAGCCATATTGTGTGCAGTTCTGGAATCCACATTATAGGAGGAATGTGATAGCACTGGAGAGGGTGCAGAGGAAATTTAGCAGGATGTTGCCTGGAGTGGAGAGTTTCAGTTATGAAGAGAGTTTGGACAGACTGGTGGAGGGCGCTGACCCGAAATGTCAGCTTTCCTGCTACTCTGATTCTGCCTGGCCCGCTGTGTTCCTCCAGCTCCACACTGTATTGTCTTGGAAAGCCTGGCGTTGTTTTCCCTAGAGCAGAAGGGATTGAGAGTGGAGATGATTGAGATGTGCATGAGGGGAAGATAGGGTAGACAGGAAGAAATTTTTCCCCAGGATGGAGGGATCAATGACCAGAGTTGGGGGGAGCATAGATTTAAGGTAAGGGGTAGGAGGTTTAAGAGGAGATGGGAGGAAAAACATTTTCATCCAGAGGGCGGTGTGAATTTGGAACTCACGGCCTGTCAGGATGGTAGAACCAGAAACCTTCATAACATTTAAGAAGGATTTATATGTGCCCTTGCAAAGCCAAGATGTACAAGACCATAAGGCCTTAAGCTATCGGAACAGAAGTAGGCAATTTGGCCCATCAAGTCTGCTGCGCCATTCGATCATGGTGGATATGCTTCTCAACCCCATTCTCCCCAGAGGCCTTGATTCCTTTACTAAGGCAATGGGCTAAAGTGGAATTAGGACTGTTGTTTCTGACTGGCACAGGCTCAAAGGGCCAAAAGGCCTCTTTCTGTGCTGTAGATCTCCACGACGGGCCAAAGGACCTGTTTCCACACTGTAAGGATGGTATGGATATGGACCCGAAACGCTATATGTGTTTGTCTCTCCACAGCAGCTGTCAGGGCTGCTGAGTTTCTCCTGCACTTGTTGTTTTAATTTCAGTTTTTCTGTGATTTTCCACAGAGTTTTGCTTAAATTTGAGCGAGAATCTCAAACGCACTTCCCTTGAAAACTGAAGCTGTTGACGCTAAGATTTTGTTGAAGGGAGGGTCTTCCGCATCCAAGTCCAGGCTGCCATTCGCAAAATCCCCAGGAATCCGCAAATCTCTGGCCCAACTCATCTGGGCTGAGACTCCTAGTCAGAACTGGGATAGGTTGGAGATTGGAAGCTGTCAGGGGAAACAGGGGGAGATGGAGAGGAAAGAAAATAGGGACGAGGGAGAATGGCAGGACTGATTAAAAGACAGGGGTGACGGCACAAAACAAGAGGGCAAATGTCTCAAATTGTAGATTAATCTTTTGTTTCTCTTCCCATGCAGACGGTCCAGTTTTATAATCAGCACGAAACTCTACTGGGGAGGACAGTGAGTATTTGAGGGGTCGCACTCATTCCCAGATTTTTGTGTGTTCACATATTCCACTCCACCACCCCTTTCTGTCTCCTCAAGGTACTGCCATAATGCTTAGGTCCCTGGGTATCCACAACTCCCCCCTCAAATCCCAGCCTAAACACCGAGATATAGGGAAGGCTACAGGTTGATCCTGTGTTCAGATGAAGGTCAGTCAGTTAGCCCTGGGGTTAACACAGTGTGGAGCTGGAGGAACCTTCTGAAGAAGGGTCCCGACCCGAAATGTCAGCTTTCCTGTTCCTCTGATGCCCCCTGGCCTGCTGTGTTCCTCCAGCATGTTCCTCTGACTCCAGCATCGGTAGTTCTTACTAGCCCTGGGGTTGTTCTAAGACACCTCGTCTTTTATTAACGTTGGGCTGGCGATGGATAAATGATCTTTGCTTTAAAATATACATGTTTACAGCTTGGAAAAAAACAAATGAAGCCTATTCTTTTCCCCAGCACATTCATCAAGCTCAAAGTTGAGAATTCATGACTTGACAAAGTGACATTGTGGAGAAAGGGGACGGAGAGAAAAAAAACCGAAAGAACTGCAGACGCTGGAAATCAGAAATAAAAACTGAAATTGCTGGAGAAACTCGGCAGGTCTAGCAGCATCTGTGGAGAGAAATCAGAGTTAACATTTCGGGTCAAGTGACCCTTCCTCAGAACTGTGTATTTCCCTGCTTTTGTTTGCATTTCTCTCACAGGGTTTGTGCTAAACTGTAGCTGCACCAATCAGAAGGTTGTTACTATGCTGATCTCGCCTCAACCCACAATAAATGGCTTCAGATCGTCTGGACTCAATGTCCCTGAAATGTATCACTGTCTCCTATACATCAGTTAGCTTCACTTGTTCTTCCCAAAGCTGCAAACAGCTCTTTCTATATTCTCCCCTCCTAAAAGCAATGTCCATGTATTTCATTTTCAGTCCACAGTCCAAAAATAAAAAAAAAGCTCTCTTACAGACTCTTGTCTCTGTAGTTGGTGCGTGGGGTAGAATAAAGCTGTGTGTGTGTGTGTGTCTGTGTTCTCTCTGTCTTGCTTGTGTGTATGTTGTCTCTGTGTGCCTGTGTCTTTGTGTGTCTCTGCCTGTGCATGTGTCTCTCTGTTATTGTGATAGGTTGCTGCATATGTGTATATTTGTGCATTATGGGGTGTGTGTGTCTATATGTTTGTAAGTCTGTACATTTGTGTATTGATGCGAGGCTGTTTTTATGCATTGATGTGTGTTTCTGTGTGTACACTTACATGCTTGATTCTATATTGTTGGATGATTCACATCTGGAGTGATGCTCTCTGCAGTTGAACAGCCCTTGATAATGGGATAGAGTTTGGAAACATGGCTTCCTGTCTGGGCTAACTAGGGCTGAATGGCTAGTCTGGTGAGGTTTTGGAGAAGCGTTGGTTGGAGGCACATAGGAGACTGAACTCTAAATGACACGTGCTGGGAGGAGAGAGGGAATGGGACAGGGATAAAAATGGACTCAATGTGCTGGCCCCAAGGTGTCACCACCCCATGCCCTTCACCAATTTGAAAATATTTCTCTTCTTCCACAGGGCGGAGACCGAGAGGGGACTCTCCCGCAAGCACATCATCGAAGGTACGCTCCTTCCCATTAAAGACTTGTATTTGTATAGTGTCTCACAATAGGCCCCCAGGTGTTTCTCAGCCACCGTACTGACTGTGAACACACAGGCCCTGAGACGCACCAAAAGATCATGCTATCCCCTCTTGAATGCATCTATCTCCACCACATTTCCACTTTGCTAACTGTGGTCACTGCTGCAATGTTGAAAGGACAGCAGCCAAAGTCATTGGGAGTGATTCATTCCTCTTTTAGCCACTGTGTGTACTGTACATGGACTCATAGAGTCATAGAGCTGTACAGCACGGAAACAGACCCTTCGGTCCAACTCGTCCACGCTGACTAGATATCCTAAATTATTCTAGTGCCATTTGCCAGCATTTGGCCCAAATCCCTCTAAATCCTTCCTATTCATGTATCCATCCAGATGCCTTTTAAATATTGTAATTGTACCAGCCTCCACCATTTCCTCTGGCAGCTCATTCCATACATGCAACACCCTCTGTATGAAAAATTCGCCCCTTAGGTCCCTTTTAAATCTTTCTCCTCTCAACCTTAAACCTATACCCTCTAGTTTTTGACACCCCTAACCTGGGGAAAAGACCTTGGCTATTCACCTTATCCGTGCCCCTCATGATTTTATAAACCTCTATAAAGTCACCTCCTCAGCCTCTGACACCCCAGGGAAAATAACCGTGGCCTATTCAGCCTCTCCCTATAGCTCAAACCTTCCAACCCTGGCAACATCCTCGTAATGTTTTTCTGCACTCTCTCAAGTTTAACAACATCCTTCCTGTATAAGGCAAATGGGAATTGTACGCAGTTTTACGAAAACGGCCTCACCAATGTCCTGTACAGCCGGAACATGACATTCCAATTTCTAAACTCAATGTTCTGGTCAATGAAGACAAACGTGCCAAACGCCTTCTTCACCATCCTGTCTACCTGTGACTCCACCTTCAAGGAACTATGTACCTGCGCTCCTAAGGTGGCTCTGTTCGGCAACTCTCCCCAGGGCACTACCATTAACTGTATAAGCCCTGCTCCGGCTGGCCTATCAAAATTCAACACCTCACATTTATCTAAATTAAACTCCATCTGCCACTCGTAGAACATAGAACGGTACTGCACAGGAACAGGTCCTTCAGCCCATGATGTTGTACCGAACATGATCCAACTTAAACTAATCCCTTATGTCTGCCCTTGGTCCATATCCCTCCATTTCCTGCAAATCCATGTTCTGATGTAAAAGTCCCTTAAACGTCCCTATTGTATCTGCCTCCAGTAACACCACCTCTGGCAGCAGGTTCCCGTGTTAAAAACTTGTCCCTCACATCTACTTTGAACTTTCCCCATCTCACCTTAAATGCATGCCCCCTAGTATTAGACATTTCAACTCTGGGAAAAGACTCTGACCATCAACCCTATCTATGCATCTCATAATTTCATAGATTTCTGTCAAGTTTCCCCTCAGTCTCCGCCGCTCCAGAGAAAACAGCCCGAGTTTTTCTAGCCTTACCGTATAGCTCATACCCTCTATTCCAGGCAGCATCCCGGTAAGCCTCTTCTGCACCCTCTCCAAAGCCTCCACATCCTTCCTGTGATGTGCCAACTGGAATTGAATGCAATACTATAAGTACGGCCTATCAAAGTCCTATAAAGCTGCAACATGACATTCTGACTCTTCAATTCCCTAACCAATAAAGGCAAGCATGTCACACACTTTCTTTAAAACCCTATCTACTTGCGTAGCCACTTTCAGGGAGCTATGGACTTGAACCCCCAAGATCCTTCTGTACAACAATGCTGTTCAGGCCCTGCTATTAACTGTATACTTTCCTTAACATTTGATCTCCCAGAGTGCAGCACTTCACATTTGTCCAGATTAAACTCCATCTTCCATTTCTCCACCCATATCTATAAATGATCTATATCCCGCTGTATCCTTTGACAATCTTCTACACAATCCTCAACTTCACTGATCTTTGTATCATCTGCAAACTTACTAACCCACCTATCTACATTTTCATCCAAGTCACTTATATATATCACAAACAGCAGAGGTCCCAGTGTGGATCCATGGAAAGCACCACTAGTCATGGACCTCCAGCCAGAAAAACACTTTCCACCACTACCCTCTCCCTTCTATGGGTAAGCCCATTCTATATCCACGTTGTCAAGTCACTGTGGATCCCATGAATTTTAATCTTCTGGATGAGCCGAACATGAGGGACCTTGTTGAAAGCATTACTAAAATCCATGTAGACAACATCCTCTGCTCTACCTTCATAGATTAAATTTGTCACCTCCTCGAAAAATTCAATCAAGTTAGTAAGACATGGCCTGCCCTGCATAAAGACAGGCTGACTTTCCCCAATTAGGTCATGCTTTTCCAAATGCGTGTAAATTCTATCCCAAAGAATTCTCTCCAATAGCTTCCCAAACACTGATGTGAGACTCACTGGTCTATAGTTTCCTGGATTATCCCTACTTCCCTTCTTGAACAGAGGAACAACATTAGCTCCTCGCCAGTCCTCGGTTCTCGGTCCTTTGGACCATCTGATCAAGGTCCCATTGTACAGGAGCTGACACTGACACACCCACACATACACACCCACACATACACACAGACATACACACACACTCTCTCACACATGCACAGACACACACACAGATAGACACACACACACACAGACAGACACACATACACACATATGTACACACACACACTCACATACGTGCGTGCGCACACATGCACACACAGACACAGTACCAGATAGGAGTGGATCATTCCCTTTTATCATCTTTGTGTACTGTGATGAACACTAACTAAACTCTCATGTGTGGTCTGTCGTCCTGTTCTCTGTATTTATCTTACTCATTGACCTATTTTTATGCTCAGGACTGAGGGGCTCACTTGAGCGTTTACAGCTTGAATATGTCGACATTGTCTTCGCAAACAGGCCTGATGTGCCTGTCTCATCAGAGGGTACGTACAGACATATTAACTCTCCCCTGCATAGACCCAGAGAATGGGGTACACCCCCCAACTCCATCACTCAACTGCCCTGTCTGAGGGCATATCGGAGGCTGATCACATCCCTGGGGCAGAGAGAGCAGAAATATCCAGTAAACCCTGCTGAAATCACCAAACTGTTGCCATATAGACAGAGGCCATTTGGCCCATTGTGCCTGCACTGGCTCTTCAAACAAGCATCATTACCTCATGCCAATCTCCTGCCTTTTTCCCATACTCCTGCACACCATTATTATCCAAAACCAATCCTATGCCCCTCTTAAATGCCTCAATTGAACCTGCCTCCACCACATTTCCAGGCAATGCATTCCACACCCTAACTACTCCCTTTCTGAAAAAGGTTTTCTCATGTCACCCTTGCTTTATTCACACATCACTTCGAAAATGTATGTGAAAATGTGTGTGCGTGTCTGCGCACATAGCTTGCAGGCAAGTATGATCAGGAATGTGTGAATGGATCAGTGGGCGTAAGATGATTTTTTTTTTGGAGTAGCTTCTGGTAGACCCCACTAGGAAACAGGCAGTTCTAGATTTGATGATGTATAATAAAGCAAACTTCATTAGGGAGCTTAAGGTGAAGAGCCCCTAGGCAGCAGTCACCATATAGAATTCACTCTGCAATTTCAGAAGGAGAAGCTGAATCAGATGTTATGGTATTACGATTGAATAAAGGTTTTTTTTATTATTCGTTCATGGGATGCAGGCATCGCTGGTTGGCCAGCATTTCTTGCCCATCCCTAGTTGCCCTTGAGAAGGTGGGGGTGAGCGAACGTCTTGAACCGCTGCAGTCCACCTGCTGTACGTAGACCCACAAAACCCTTAGGGAGGGAATTCCAGGCTTTTGACCCAGTGACACTGAAGCAACGGTGATATATTTCCAAGTCAGGATGGTGAATTGCTTGGAGAGCAACTTGCAGGTGGTGATGTTCCCATGTGTCTGCTGCCCTTGTCCTTCTAGATGGAAGTGGTCGTGGGTTGGAAGGTGTTGTCTGAGGATCTTTGGGGAATTTCTGCAGTAGATAGTACACACTGTTCCTACTGAGCATCAGTGGTGAAGGGAGTGGATGCTTGTGGATGTGGTGCCAATCAAGCGGGCTGCTTTGTCCTGGATGGTGTCAAGCTTCTTGAGCGTTGTTAGTGCTGCACTCATCCAGGCAAGTGGGGAGTATTCCATCACACTCCTGACTTGTGCCTTATAGAGGATGAAAGGGCTCGTTTGGGAAATCAGGAGATGAGTTACTTGCTGCAGTATTCCTAGCCTCTGACCTGCTCTTGCAGCCACTAAATTTATGTTGTGAGTCCAGTTGAGTTTGTGGTCAATGGTAACACCAAGTATATTGATAGTAGGGATGCAGTGATGGTAACACCATTGAATGTCAAGGCGCTAAATATAGATTGTCTCTTATTGCTGATGGCCTATTGCTTATTGCCTGGCATTTGTGTAGCATGAATGTTATTTGTCACTTGTCAGTTCAAGCTTAGATATTGTCCAGATCTTGTTGCATTGGAGCACGAACTCCGTCAATATCTGAGGACTCGCAAATGGCACTGAACAAAGGTAACTTGAAAGACATAAGAGAGGAGCTGGCCAGAGGTGATTGGAAGGGGAGCATAGCAAGGAAGATGGTGGAGAACAACAGCAGGAGTTACTGGGGGTAATTTGGGAGGCATAGCAGAAATTCATCCCAAGGGAGCAGAAACATATTAAAGGGAGGATGAAGCAACTATGGCTGACAAGGGAAGTCAGAGACAGCATAAAAGCAAAAGAAAAAGCATATAATGTGGTGAGGATTAGTGGGAAGCCTTTAAAAACTAGCAGAGGATAAATAAAAATGCAATAAGCGGGAGAAAATGAAACATGAGGGTAAACTAGCTGGTATTATAAAGGATTGCAAGAGTCTTTTTTAGATATAAAAAAGGTAAGAGAGAGGCAAGAGTGGACATTGGGCTGCTGGGAAATGAGGCTGAAGAAGTAGTGATGGGGAACAAAGAAATAGCAGGGGAACTGAATAGGTACTTTGCATCAGTTTTCACAGTGGAAGACACAAACAGTATGCCAGAACTTCAAGAGAGTCGGGGACAGAGGTGAGTGCAGTGGCCTTCACTAAGGAGAAGGTGCTGGGGAAGCAGAAAGGTCATTGAACACCCCCGTTTACAAAGGAAGGGAGGCAGAAGGTAGGAAATTATAGGTTGGTTAGCCTGACCTCAGTGGTTGGTAAGATTTTAGAGTCCATTATTAAGGATGAGATTGCAGAGTAGTTGGAAGTGCATGGTAAAATAGGGCAGCTTTGTCAAGGGGAGGTCATGTCTGACAATCCTTCATTGCTCAGACCCTTCAGTATAGGAGTTGGGACTGGTCATGTTGAGGTTGTACAAGACGTTGGTGAGGCCACTTTTCAAGTACTGTGTACAGCTCTGATCACCCTGCTACAGGAAGGATATTATTAAATTGGAGACGGTTCAGAAATGATTTACCAGGAGGTTACTGAAACTGGAGAGTTTGAATTATAAGGAGAGGCTGCGTAGGCTGGGACTTTTTTCACTGGAGTGTTGGAGGCTGAGGGGTGGCCTTCTAGACATTTATAAAATCATGGGGGGCATAGATAAGGTGAATACCAAGATCTTTTCCCTGGGGTGGGGGGAGTTCAAAACTAGGGAGCATATTTTTTAAGGTGAGAGAAGAAAGATTTAAAAGGGACCTAAGGGGCAACTTTTTCACAAGTGAGTGGTTCATATGTGAAATGAACTGCCAGAGGAAGTGGTAGATGCAGGTACAGTTACAACATTTAAAGAACATTTGGATAGGTACATGAATGGGAAAGGTTTAAAGGTTATGGGCTAAATGAAGGCAAGTGAGGCTAGTTTATCTTGGGAAACTTGCTTGGCATGGATGAGCTGGACCAAAGGGTCTTGTCTGTGCTAAATGACTCTATGAGTCTAGGACTTTAAATCTGTTCGAATTCTTCCAGTAGGTAATGAGCAGGTGAGATAAAGGAGATCCAGTGGATGTGATCCAGTGGTCAGACCACATTGTGAGCAGTTTTGGGCCCTGTATCTATTGAAGGATGTGCTGGCATTGTTGGGGTCCAGAGGAGGTTTACAAGAATGATCCTGGGGATGAAGGGCTTTTCATATGGGGAGCGGTTGAGGACTTGGGTTTGTACTCGATTGAGTTTAAAAGGATGAGGGGATCTCATTGAAACTTACAGAAAAATGAGAGGCCTAGATAGAGTGGATGTGGAGAAGATGTTTCCACCAGTACGAAAGTTTAGGATCCAAAGGCACATCCTCAGAGCGAAGAGACGACCCTTTGGAATGAGATGAGGAGAGATTTCTTCAGCCAGAAGGTGGTGAATCTGTGGAACTGATTGCCGCATGTGGAAGCCATGTCATTGAGTGTATTTAGGACAGAAATAGCTAGGTTCTTTATTAGTAAAGGGATCAACATTTAAAAGGAGTTGAGAAACATGTCAGCCATGATCGAATGATGGAGCAAACTCAATGGGCCGAATGGCACACTTCAGCTCTTATGTCTTATAGTCTTATGGAATATTGGTACCCAGGCAGACAGCACAGTGGCTTAGTGGTTAGCACTGCTACCTCACAGCGCCAGGGACACGGGTTTGATTCCAGCCATGAAGTATTAGAGTCATAGAGTTATACACATGGAAACAGACCCTTTGGTCCAACTTGTCTGTGCTGACCAGATATCCTAAATAAATCTAGTCCTGTATACCTCTAAACTCTTCCTATTTATATACCCAGATGATTTTTATATGTTGTAATTGTACCAGCCTCCACCACTTCCTCTGGTAGCTCGTTCCACATGCACCACCCTCTGTGTGAAAAAGTTGCCCCTTTTAAATCTTTCCTCCCTCACCTTAAACCTATGCCCTATAGTTTTGGATTCCCCACCGTGGAGAAAAGACCTTGATTATTCATCTTATCCATGCCCCTCGTGATTTAATAAACTTCTATGAGGTCACTTCCTCAGCCTCTGATGCTCCAGGGAAAATAGCCCCAGCCTATTCAGCCTCTCCCTGTAGCTCAAACCCTCCAAACCCAGTAACATCCTTGTAAATCTTTTCTGAACCCTTTCAAGCTTAACAACATTTTTCTTATAGCTGGGAGACCAGAACTGAACACAGTATTCCAAAAGTGGCCTCACCAATGTCCTGTACAGCTGCAACATGCCCTCCCAACTCCTATACTCAATGCACTGACCAATGAAGGCATGCGTACCAAACACCTTCTTCCCCACCCTGTCTGCCTGCAACTCCACTTTCCAGGAACAATGCATCTGCGCCCCTAGGTCTCTTTGTTTGGCAACACTGCCCAGGGCCCTACCATTAACAGTTTAAATTCTGCCCTGATGTGTCTTACCAAACTGCAACACCTCACATTTATCTAAATTAAACTCCATCTGCCTATCCTCGGCCCATTGGTCCATCTGATCAAGGTCCTGTTATACTCTAAGATAACCTTCGTCACTTTCCACTACACCACTAATTCTAGTGTCACCTGCAAACTTACTAACTATAACTCCTATATTCACATCCAAATCATTTATATAAATGACAAAAAGCAGTGGACCCAGCCCTGATTCTTGTGGTACGATTCATAGGCCTCCAGTCCAAAAAATAATCATCTACCACTGCTCTCTGTCTCCTATATTCAAGCCAATTTTGTATCCAAATGGCTAGCTCCCCCTGATTTCCATGTGATCTAACCTTGCTAACTAGTCTACCATGTGGAACCTCGTTAATCGCCTTACTGAAATCCATATGTGTCTTGGGCAACTCTCTGCGTGGAATTTGCACATTCTCCCTGTGTCTGTGTGTGTTTCCTCTCACAGTCCAAACATGTGCAGATTAGGTGGATTGATCGTGCTAAATTGCCCCAAGTGTCCAGGGATCTGTAGGCTAGGTGGGTTAGTCATGGGAAATGCCGAGTTGCAGGGTAAAGTTAGAGGGTGTGTCTGGATGTGAGCTCTTCAGAAGGTCGGTGTGGACTTGATGGGTTGAATGGTCTGCTTCCAGATTGTAGGGATTCTATGTATGAGGATGCGTACATGACCCTGTGTGTGTGTGTGTGTGTCTTTGAGTGTGTGTGTGAGTGCGTGTGTGTGTGCGCACGTGCATCCTCAAGGCATGTCCATGTATATATATACATGATTGAGTATGTGACCATATCTGCAAGCACATTAAAGGATGTAAGAGACCACGTATGTGTGGGTCTGTGAGAGATCCATGATAAACTCATTAAACTTCTCGAGGACAGCTCAGATTTCCATCCTCCCAGTCCCAGAGAGGGCCTTGAGCCCAGTACTTTGTAACTCAGTAACTGGGGACTGTCCAGGAGCAGTTGAGCCACAGAGCCAGAGCTGACTCTGAGACCATAAATATACAAATACCCCATGTCTATTTCTCCCATAATCATATGTTGTTCCATTTAAGCCTCTGGAGGAGTTTGCATTGCATTGCTGTGTGCTTAATGAGTTTTGAATTTTTAGCATCCCTCTCCACTCTAGATCTATCTGACTTGATCCTGTTTAGCTTCATATAAATCTGAGGAGGTCACGCAACACCCTGCCTCGAAGTGACTGATACTGAAAGTAATTTACCATCTCTGCAACCATTCTGCATGTTTATTGCCTCATTGTGGGGCGACACGGTGGCACAGTGGTTAGCACTGCCGCCTCACAGCGCCAGGGACCTGGGTTTGATTCCAGCCTCGGGCGACTGTCTGTGTGGAGTTTGCACATTCACCCCGTGTCTGCGTGGGTTTCCTCCGGGTGCTCCGGTTTCCTCCCACAGTCCAAAGACGTGCAGGTTAGGCGGATTGGCCATGCTAAATTGCCCGTAGTGTTCAGGGAGGTAGAGGGTGTATATTAGGTGGGTCATAGGGGAATGGATCTGGGTGGGATGCTCTGAGGTTCAGTGTGGACTTGTTGGGCCGAAGGGCCTGTTTCCACACTGTAGGGATTCTAATTCTAATTCTAATCAAAGTATTCACAGTTCTCAGCAATATTAACTCCAGTTCCTCATGCTTAGGTTTCCATGTTATCCTGATGTTGTCGATGAATTCTGTAATACCTGTTTTCTGTTGATAGGTCATTACAGCCCACGATCGAGGGTCTTCTTTGTGGAAGGTATCTGTCGCAAAGTGAAGAGCCTCACTTTAATAAGGGCAAAATACTGTGGATGCTCCAAGTCTGAAATTAAAACAGCAAGTGCTCGAGAAATTCAGCAGGTCCATGAGAGGAAGAGAAAACAGAATTAATGTCTCGGGTCTAATAGGACTGTTCTTCAGAACTTAAAGGGGTTGGAAAAGTGGTAGCTTTTCTGTTATTGATAGAAAGGGAAGAGAAAGTGCATCAGATGGTGAAGGTGCCTGAAGTTAAATACAAAGGATGTTATTAATAATGGTAAAGATGTGATAGAGACGTAAATTAGGTGTTAATGTTAGGAGTGAAAAGGAAAAAGAATTTGGTCCACTCTGACAAGAGTAAAGCCAACAACACATAGCAAGGCACGAGTGGGTGTTGTAGCCACCACAGAACATGATCTCTAACCTCTATTTTGACATCATTTCCCAGCACCATTCAGTTCTGACTAGATTTGAAACATTAACTCCGTTTCTCTCTGCACAGGTGCTGTGAGACCTGCTGAGGTTCTCCAGAGTTCTCTGTGTTTGTATCCCTTTATTAAATGTTTATTAGTCATAAGGGAGAGGAGAATCTCGCAGAGGGTTGGCGATGGTGTTTGATCTGCTCATTGTTTTCTCCCCACTATGGCATGAGGCATAAAACAGCAGCAGCAAAAGACAACTTATTACTTAACCAGAGAGAAACATCAGATTGTACCAGTGCAGAGGGATCTGGGTGTCCTCATGCCTGAATTGCAGAAAGCTAGTGCAGTGGGTGATAAGGAAGGCGAATGGAATTTTGGTATTTATTGCTCTAGGAATTGAGATAAAAAGAAGTAAGTGATGCTGCAATTGTACAAGGCATCAGTATTTGGATACTGTGTTCAGTTTTGGTCTCCTTTATTGAGGAGGGACATAATTGTATTGCAGAGGAGGTTCACTAGATTGATTCTAGAGATGAGGTGTTTGTCTTATGAAGACAGATTGAGCAGTTTAGGCCTATTCTCTCTGGAGTTTAGAAGAATGAGAGAAGATCTCATTGAGGGATATGAAATGCTAAAGGAGATTGACAAAGTAAATGTAGAGAGTATATTTGCTCATACAGGGCAATCTAGAACAAAAAGTCATAGTTTTGGGATAAGGAGTAGCAGATTTAAAACAAAACAAAGAACAATCCAGCACAGGAACAGGCTCTTCAGCCCTCCAAGCCTGCTCTGACACATTTTGCCCTTCCATATTAAAACTTACAGGATCCGTATCCCTCTATTCCCTTCCTATTCATATATTTATCCAGGTGTTTCTTGAATACTGCTATTGTGTCAGCGTCCACCTCCTCCTCCGGCAGCGCGTTCCAGGCACTCACCACCCTTTGTGTGAAAACCTTGCCTCGCACATCTTTTAAACTTGCCCCCTGCACCTTGAACCTGTGTCTCCTAGTAATTGACCCCTCCACCCTGGGGAAAAACCTCATACTTTCCACTCTATCCATGCCATTCACAGTCATATAAATGTCTATCAGGTCACCCCCTCAACCTCCTGTGTTCCATTGAAACCAAACCCAGTCTATCCAACCTTTCTTCAAAGCTAAAATCCCCAATACCAGCCAACCTCCTGGTAAACATTTTCTATACCCTCTCCAAAGCATCCACATCCTGTGTGGCCTAACTAAAGTTCTATAAAGCTGCAGCACAACTTGTCATTCCTTATACTCAATGCCCCTTTTCCCTCATCAATCATCTTCATTACCTCCTCAAAAAACAAGCATGCCATAGGCCTTTTTTAATACCTTATCTACCTGCACTGCCACCCACAGTGATCTACGGACCTGCACACACAGATCCCTCTGCATATCAATACTCCTAAGGGTTCTGCCATTCACTGTATAATTTCCACCTGTACTTGACCTTCCAAAATGCATCACCTCACATTTGTCCAGATTAAACTCCATCTGCCATTTTTCTGCCCATGCCTCCAACTGATCTACATCCTGCTGTATCCTCTGACAATCCACCTAATTATCTGCAACTCCAGCAATCTTTGTATCATCCGCAAACTTACTCATTAGTCCAGCTACGTTTTTCTCTAAATCATTTATGTAGACCACAAACAGCAGAGGTCCCAGCACTCACCCCTGTGGAATGCCACTACTCACAACCCTCCATTCTGAAAAGCATCCTTCCACCGCTATCCTCTGTCTCCTGTGACTAAGCCAGTTCGGTATCCATCTTGCCAGCTCACTCCTGATATCATGTGACTTTACCTTTTGTATCAGTCTGCCATGAGGGACCTTGTCAAAGGCTTTACTGAAGTCCATGTAGATAACATCAACTGTTTTTCCCTCATCAATCATCTTCATCACCTCCTCAAAAAACTCAATCAAGTTAGTGATCAACAGAGTGACCAAGATGAGGTGAAATTATTTCTCTCAAAGCCTCATGAATCTATGGAAATCACTAACCCAGAGTGCATTAGTGCTGGGACACTGAATAAATTTAAAGAGGAGATAGACAGATTTTTAATTAGTAATGGGTTAAAAGTTTATGGGGAACAGGCACAAAAATGGAGTTGAGACTGAGATGAGGTCAGCCATGATTGTATTAAATGGTGGAACAGGCTCAAGGGGCTGAATGGCCTACTTCAGCTCCTAGTTCTTATGTTCTTATAATTTGCCCAGCTCTCCTCAAGGAGTCATGACATCAGGATGAGGAGGGTGAAAGGTCTGATGTATCGAAACTAGAAACAAGACTAGGCCATTCTGCCCTTCGAGCCTGCTCCAGCATTCAAATATGAACATGCTGATCCTCTCTCTCAATGCTCTCTTCCCATTTTCTCCTCTTAGCCCCTTGATGTCTTTAATATCTAAATATTTGTGTTGGTTAGCGATCAGATCTTCTTTGTACCTATCCCTGGTTAGCTGAACAGGAGCTGACCTCTTCCTGTGCTTTTACAAACCACCATGTGGTCTCAAGTGGTTCCCACTGTCTGTATTTCTGATGAGGGGAGCCTCGGCCCTTTTCCTACCCAGTTAGAAATATTGCATTAAGGATATGATTGGGCTTGATGTGATATCCCTCCCAGCACAGAGGCTGAAGATCAGCTACGATCATGTTAAATTGTGGGGTAGACTTGAGGGGCCTCCTTTCTGGAGTCACATGTAGGCCAGGCCAAATAAGGAGGGCAGATTCCTTTCCATAAAAGGCATTTGTGAACTGGGTGGATCTCTCATTGTCATGGCGACTATCGCTGGGACTAGAACAAAATGCTGCAGATTTCTATTATTTCAAGCTGTTATGGTGGGTTTGAACCTATGTCCCCATGGGTCTGGGCCTCTGGATTAATTGATCAGTAACAGTGACTGGGCCACCACCTCCCGCTGTATTACTGAGGAGACTAATTATTCCATATGCCTCAGAGAGGTCACCTCGTCATCTATCCTGTTCTGAAACAATTCAGCTGGGGGCTGGACTCTACACAGTAACTGAGGGCCTTCAAACACATTAGAGTCAAAAATATCGGCACACATTCATCTTCATGAGGAGGGAATGTCAGGCTAAGGGATATCAGAAATAAAGTGACATTTCATAGAACTACATGGGATATACAGAAAGATTCGGTTCAGCCCATCCTAACCCACACATGAGTCTATTTCCCTTCCAACTGCCTACCCTCAGCCTTTTAACATGTCTTTAAAACATACAAATATAAGAGATAGGGATAGGCCATACTGCCCCTCGAGCTTGCTTATCTGAATGTGGCCTCAACTCCACTTTGCTGCCTATTCACACTGCCCCTACCCCTACACCTCTGACTCTGCTGATCAAAAATCTATTAACCTCAGGCTTAAAAATATTCAAGGACCAAGCCTCCACTGTGGACTAGGGAGGAGGGTCCCATTGATGAGAGACGCTCAGAGAAAGAAAAAAGTCCTTCCTCATCTCCGTCTTAAATGAGAGATGGGATATATTCTTACTATCCCTTTGTACTAGTTTCCTTCGAAGGTGAACTGACCGTGCTAAATTGCCCATAGTGTTCAGGGATGTATCAGTTAGGTGGGTTATGAGGGATGGGTCTGGGTGGGATGCTCTGAGGATCAGTGTGGACTTGTTGGGCCGAAGGCCCTGTTTCCACACTGTAGGGATTCTATGATTCTATGATCTATGAATTGAAGCAGTTTGCCTCCCCCTGTGGGATTGAGCTGCACACCCACTCTCAGGAAGAACCTATTCCTCCTGATTTTTTGGATTGTGAAGAACTCTCCTGTCTTTATGGTCCCTGCTTTGGGATTTGGAATTCTCTCCAGGTTAACCACAGTCAGTGCAGGGAGGGTTGAGAGTGGCTTGGGGCACAGTGGCCATAAGATGCTAACTCTGCAATTCTCCGTCTTCCAACAGAGATCGTCCGCGCCATGACCTTCCTCATAAACCAGGGGAAGGCGATGTACTGGGGAACATCTCGATGGACCTCAGTGGAGATCATGGTGAGAAAACTCATGAACATAAAACCCGTGGTGTTTCCTGCTCAAGAGATTGCAAATGTTCATCCAGGCAGGTTTTGTGAAGGGATGAGATAGGATGAGCATAACCTGCATTTATGTAGTGCCTATAACAGGGGCCAAACGTGCTGAGCTTTTTCTCAAGAGTGTTCTGGGACTAAATTGGATACTGAGCCACTTGAGCAGATATTGGCAATAGATGACCAAGCGCTGGGTCACACAGATCAGTTTTTAAGGGGAATCATATAGGAGAGAGAGGGCAGAAGACAGGGAAAGAGAGAGCTTGGCAGACAGGTTTATGGAGGCAATTCCAAAGCCTCAGACAGCTGAAGACACAACCATCAAAGGTGGAGTGAAGGGAATCAGGGATTGATTGACGGGTCAGAATTGGAGGAGTGCAGAGATCTCAGAGGGGGATAGGGGCTGGAGTAGATTACAGAGATAGGGAGGGGTGTAGGGGCTGG